AAGGCCGCAAGATTGGGATTCATTTAGGTCATGAACAATTATGAAGTAACCCTTTTTCATTTGTCGTTTGAACAAATATCTAAAAACTTAACATTCCCAAACATTGGTAATTCATGTGGTTCCTAAAATCTCAGTCCAGACATTTTCAGCCCGAACCAACAAATTTCTGGCTCTGTTTTTTTTTTCCCCGGCTCTTGTGACCAAGTGAGTTGCTCATACAACCGTATGATTTTCATAAGTGCTTTAATTACTTCCCATGTATGAATAACTTACCTCCTTTATGAATAACTGTTTTCCTTTTATGAATAACTCGTGTCCTTGAATATGAAGAACCCATGTCCTTGTCTGAATAACTAATGTCCTTGTACGTATATACTATGAATAACTCATGCTCTTGCATGACTTACTCCAGAACTTCCATATATGAAGAACTAATTTCCTTGTCTCAAGAACTTATTTCCTTGTATACCAATAACTCGTTTCCTTCTATGGATAGAAGTCCATACCTCAGTAACTCAGAATATAGCAGGACAATGTCCAAGCGCTACTTAGATAATCAGATAGTGAATTGACTGATACACACTATGACAACCTTCCTCGGTTTTCTCGGCTAAGGTCGCGATGCTTCTACCTTCTATCTCTGGAACGAGCACTCGGGACATATGGTTCTTTTGCCAAAGACGCCGCTCGGCCGAAGATTGGAGGAGGAAAGAAAATAATATGGAGCTGTTACATGGTCTGGCAGCAAACTATATACACCTTTGTCAAAGTAGATGGCTCAACTCAAAAACCAAAATACCCACATAAGATGGCACCGCGGGTTGAGAAAGAAAACGGCGCTATTTTAGCTGGAACATAAAACAAGGTCCGCCAATTGAAGAAAAAATCGCCCTACTTTAAAATGAAAAGGTAGATGGCGCAACTGCCACTCCAGTAGATGGACATAAGGGTATTGTTAACTAAGTTTACTACATTTCCTATCATTTTTGCTTGTATATACGGCGGAATTGCACAAATTTGTATTGTATAAAATGAGTTGCGCCATCTAGGCCCCTTAAATCCCATTCAAACGCCAGAATCTTTTTTCGATGGGTTCAAAAATGAATTGCGCCATCTATGTCCCTTAAATCGCATTCAAATCTTTCAAAAATTCAGTGGCACGCCTTAAAAATGAACCACTGAAGGTTTTAAAACTGATTGTGGACAGAATTTTGCCAGCAAAGGTCGAGACGCTTTAAAACCCAATTTTAACAAGTGACCTGAGGAACGGTTCTTGAGGGCAAAAACGGTTCCTCAGGTCACTTGTTAAAACTGGGTTTTAAAGCGTCTCGACCTTTGTTGGCTCAAAACAACTTCCGTCATTTCGCCAAAATCAGGCTGGGAATGCCCACCTATGTCCCAAAAAAACAGCTTGATGTTGAGAAAAAAACATGGGGAGAAACCAGCGCAGAAGATTGCAAAAAATATGTATTTTTTTGGGACATAGATGGCTCAACTGGCCTGTTCTAAAGGGAGTTGAGCCATCTATCCCCCATTTTTTTTTGACATAGATGGCTCAACTCAAGATTCAGAGCCATCTACTTTGACAAAGGAGTAAATGGCTTACCCCATTGAATAAGCATGCGCGTACCTGAGGAAGGCATGATGATTGTAGGCTAGGGGTTGAAAGAAGTAGAACAAATACAAAGTCAACCCCCACAGACAAGTATGAATCTATTATGTATATGTGTCTGTGTGCTTTGTCCCATTCGTTTCCAAAGCTTGACAACAATGGTGCAAGAGGAGAAAGCAGAGGTTTAGGTAGGTTTAGGTCAGGACGTTTCAAGTCGGAAAAGCGTTGTTGTTACGCCACCCAGTCTGTTGTCCAAACTGTTGCTTCCCCGGTTTCAGGGATCCTGAAGCGAAGCGCTAGTTGGGTCGGCCTTGCTGTTCACTGCGCTGATGCATGCACGGAAAGATCCAAAACGGATTGCCTTTTACGTAAAACATTGCAGAGAAACATGTGCATGTAATATGTGCTTCTTGTTTTACATGTAAGTGTGGTTTATTGAGTAGCCAGCACCTAAGAAGCTTGTCATCTTACACAGCAAGACCACTGATCAAATCAATTTGGATTCAATAAGATGGGTTGTGTGCAAAGTAGCTGGTGTGGAAGTGTGCTATGTTTTGTTTTGGTCTTGGCGGTTGCGATGCCTGCGAGTAGCGCGGTACATCTTATATAACAAGCCAAGATCTACACAAGGCTTTGGAAAGGTGCGCAGTGCATTGTCAATGTAGGCCTGTGACGGCTTTAGCTTTGGATATCGCCTTGTAAAGCTGATGCTGTATGTCAGCCGCGTGATGACTCTGGAAGGGGTGGGCCGGGCGACTTCTTGCGTCACAGCAGGTGCTCCAGGTTGCCTGGTGGTAGCGGAGCGTGCTACTCCTGTAGCACAGGACGGCCGCGTTGTCCTGGATGTGTCTGTCTTGGTTTGCCTTGTTTCCTATAGTGCGCAGGGCATTGCGTAGGCCTGTGAAGGCTTTAGCTTCGGATATCGCCTTGTAAAGCTGATGCTGTATGTCGGCCGCGTGATGACTCTGGGCCGGGTGACTTCTTGCGTCATAGGAGGTGCTCGAGGTTGCCTGGTGGTAGCGGAGCGTGCTGCTCCTGTAGCATATAGGACGTCCGCGTTGTCCTGGACGTGTATGTCTTCTTTTCCCTTGTTTCCTATATAGTGTGCACGGCATTGCGTAGGCCTGTGACGGCTTTAGCTTCGGATACCGCCTTGTACAGCTGATGCTGTGTGTCAGCCGCGTGATGACTCTGGGAAGGGTGGGCCGGGCGACTTCTTGCGTCATAGGAGGTGCTCGAGGTTGCCTGGTGGTAGCGGAGCGTGCTGCTCCTGTAGCATAGGACGGCCGCGTTGTCCTGGCCGTGTCTGTCTTCTTTTTCCTTGTTTCCTATAGTGCGCAGGGCATTGCGTAGGCCTGTGACGCGTCTGGCTTCAGAGTGCGCCTGGTAGAGACTATGCTGTATAGGTCAGCATGTGGTGGTGCTAGGAGCCACCGCGTGACACATGCCATAGAGCCGAGTCGTTCTTCTACACGGGGTGGTGCTAGGGGCCACCGCGTGACACATGCCCTAGAGCCGAGTCGTTCTTCTACACGGGGTGGTGCTAGGGGCCACCGCGTGACACATGCCCTAGAGTCGAGTCGTTCTTCTACACGGGGTGGTGCTAGGGGCCACCGCGTGACACATGCCCTAGAGTCGAATCGTCCGTATTTATGGGGTGGTGCTAGGGGCCACGGCGTGACACATGCCCTAGAGTCGAATCGTTTGCATTTATGGGGTGGTGCTAGGGGCCACCGCGTCACACATGCCCTAGAGTCATCGTTCGCATTTATGGGGTGGTGCTAGGGGCCACCGCGTGACACATGCCCTAGAGTCGAATCGTTCGTAGGTATGGGGTGGTGCCAGGGGCCACCGCGTGACACATGCCCTAGAGTCGAGTCGTCCGTATTTATGGGGTGGTGCTAGGGGCCACCGCGAGTGGTTCGTATGTATGGGGTGGTGCTGGGGGCGACCGCGTGACACATGCCTCATAGATAAGTCCGTACAAAGGCGCAAGGTGACGAGGAGAGGTGAAAGTTTACATCTCACGCGTTGGTCTTATTCGGGCACACGTTGTGAACACTGCAGTCTGTGCTGAGGCGCTCCGCTTTTATGGACATGAGGTAGAAGCAGCTCGCTTGTCAGGAGACTTTCGGTTGAATGGGAACTGGTGGAATGTGTGCCGAATGTCAAAAAGTTTGACGTCATATAAGCTGCATGGAATGCAATCCAAATTTGTGATGTAAGAGATTTGCTTGGAACAACATGACGCATGCAATTGAAACCACACAACCGCAAATTGTGGCTGGCAGCACGTCAATCCCCACAGAAAGTCTCTGTCGATCTCTTTCGTCTTTCTTTCGCCCGCCGATCTTGTGACACCAAGCATGATGTCTTTTTTCCCTCGCAATGTTCGCTGGGCTGACGTGTACGACGACGACCTCGATACCATTCTAAGCGAACATCTCAGCTGTTGTGCAGATGCAGTACATATATCTTTGTTTCTGGTTATTCTATTGTGATGTTCGGAAAGCTTGCGTCGTTATGAAGCATTATGTGTGTCACTGCTAAGGTACTGATGTGACTCCTCTGCCAGCATCCGGCTCCTTGCTCTGAAGGGTTGATCTTTTTGCTACGTTCTGATGCTAGGGGCCACCGCGTTATACACGCTTTATGTTTCGATCGACAAAAATCAGTGGTGCTAATCTGCCACATGACGCACGCCTTTGACCGAGAGTCAGTCCGTGCATCCTTTGGCATGCTTGCACGTGTGGCTGAGGCAATGATGCAGATGGATGCTTGGCTGCGTTACGGACCAAACAATAGCTGCTTTGATGTGGCAGAGTTGGATTCCGTAAGTTGGTATGCGGTGACGCCTGACATGTTTCCTCGGCGTGCTTAAGGTGACCATGATGGCGCCATGGTCGTGGATGCTTCCGAACCCATGGCGTGGTATGAGAAACCACACCCATGGGTAAACCTCCACCTGTTGAGCCGACGACAAAGGCAAAGACTACGGGAGAACATATATTGGCAGAATGTTTTCCTGCATTATCACAAGAAGCTTGCTCGCTGGTGGCGACAAGAACGGCTCCGGGAGTGGCACGACTTCGAAGAAGCAATTGAAGAGCATTTAAACTTGATGGCTTCCCGGTCGGACTTGTTGAAGTCCAATGTTGGCGGGAAACCTTCTAGCAAAGTCCGTTCGAGGGCTATTTTGACGCTCGGCTTGCATTGAAGCGGGTGCCAGTCCATGGGGCCAAGTGATGTCTAGGAAATTCGCCAACGGATTCGAAAGTAATCCTTACAAGAGAAATGTTCGAAGAGGTTCCTTGAAAAGATATTGTGGAAATTCTTTGTTAAGTTGAAATTCCAAGGCGGCCAGCATCTGAGCCAACACGGTTTGCGAATGTATGCCTCGTCGACTCGTTTCGTTCCGTTGGCTGGCCGGTTCAGTATGACAGTGACTGCTCTTTCTGGGCCCTTGCGGATGGCAAGCGGATGCTGCAGCCACATGGGCTCCTTGGCTGCAAGAGTCTGTTTGGTTCGGTGTCTCTTGTTGCTTGAATCTTTCTCGGTCCTCTTCCATGTCAGGTACACGATCGTTGCGGCAAACGTCGGTCAAGATCTCTTTCCTGGCAGATATGTCTTATACCGCAAGGAACATTTCGTTGGGTTTAGAGTGTTCCCAGATGGAACGTGCCGCCTCCAAGAAAACCACAAAAGCCATTGCGGACAGGATTGTGCTCTTTCAGATTTCAGTTTTGAACCGTACAAAAAAATATTTCAGTTGCTGGCAACTGGTGGGCCGAGCTCTTGTGGAAAGGTGGCCGGTGTACGCCAACAGTTCGAGGCAATCTTCCATGTAGAAGCTCGCACGTCAGATGGTGCAAGCCAGGTGAATTTGGGCGGCGACCATGCGTCGCAGCAAGTCAGTGATGTGTGCGGTGGCATGATTTCGTTCCAATCGGCATTGTCTCATAATATACTGCTTTCATGCGACGCCGAAACTTTTGACTTCGGCACTTTCGTGTCGAAAGCTCGCTCGGTGCTGCACCGGCGTCTTCGCCATCCGCCTCTAGCTATGTCCTTCTTCAAAGACGGGCTTCAGATTGCAGAGGACCTGATGTGGGAGGATCTTGGGTACCCTTCCAACGTGCAAGTTCTCATCACCACTACGCACAACAATCTCTGGGACAAGCTTGCACATGCCATCCTGCACAATGCCATCGCTGATGTTGAGTGGCTGTTGCGGCAGGGCCAAGATCCGAATGGAACATGTTCAGCAGGAACAACTCTCCTGGTCTACGCCTGCCAAGCGGGGGCACTTGGAGCTATGAAGACGCTTTTACAAAGCAAAGCGAGCCCGAATCTCATTGGCCCTGACGGTCTGAGCCCTTTGCACACTGCGACCACGAGGCGCGATGTCAGTGCAGCTGAACTTTTGTTGGTCTATGGTGCTGACCCGAACATGCCAAATTCTTTCGGTGATGCTGCAGTGCATCTGGCAGCGCAGGAGGACGATTCAGACATGGTTGGCTTGTTCATGGGCTGCGGCGCGGATCAGACTTGTCCTGGCCTGCTGCGACGCCTTAGTATCATTCAGAAGCAACCAGATGTTTGTGGCGGATCTGATGCGTGTGAGGAACCTCTTTTGAACAAAGGTCCTCAAGTATGGCTACGTATATGCCACAACCGCGCCGATGCCTTAAGGAGGCGCCAAATGTTGGAAGAGAGGACGCCCAAGACGCTGCAAGAACTAATGGAGGCCGGGTTCACGGCACAAGAAGCTTCCTGCTTCTTGGAGTCACATGCGAAGGCCAAGGAGAAGCAGGGCTGGTTTCGACGCTGGGACGCATCAATGCCTCCCATGGTTCGACAAACATTTGGCATCCTTAACGCCCGCGTGCGAATTCCCTTGCCGCCACTGTCTCGACCCTTGGTGTCGCTGCCGGCAAATTGCCCCGAACTTTTACTGGGAACGGACTTCCATTTTGATTGGCTACAAGTGTGTCATCCGCATCCACGAGACACACACATCCGCTTCGTGTCGGAAGGTCACAAGTTGGACAACGAGCCCTTTGATCTTTCTGTTACTAGCTTTGTCTGTACCTTTTCAGAGGACTGTGTCGGATACTGTCTTAGGGTCTGTTGGTTTAAGATGATTGATGTTGTACACATTTTGGAATGTAACACCGCAATGAGATGAAAATAAGTTCTGGGAACAATTTGCCAGGAGTTTGACGCAGACAAAGCTATCGAGATGATGATGTCTGGTACTCGTTGGCCTCGTGTAGAGTACATGAATGGCATCAAAAATGGAAAACTCGCTCATGCTTGTTTACAAGTTCCTGACTTGACAGCATTGGGCGCCGTTCTCGCGCAGCCTTCCCTAAACTTAGCGCACGCAAGCCATTGTCTGCGCAGCACATTGGATAGTTGCTCTGCTGAATCACACGCCCTGCTTGCGAGCCACATTATGTCTCCAGCTGAAATCAAGGAACATTGGGCCCTAAAAGCGGAGATGGCATCGCATGCAGGGACGTGGACCCATCTCCAGTGCGAGTGTGTCTTGAACGGTGGGGCCATCAAAGGAACTTGTGCTGAGATGGACCTACTACGTACCTTTGTCGGCCGCACTCGGCCTCTGCTTGCCTTCCGTACAGAGTGGTGCATCTGGGCTAGCGATGAGAGGTTGGCAGGTTGCATCGACTTCGCAGCGATTGACGAGAAGGGACACCTTGTGTGCCTTGGTTTCAATGAGATAGTCATGCAAAGTGTGCCGCAGTGAACAAATGGTTTAAGAGGGAACCCCATTCTCTGCGTTGATGCCTCAGGCTAGTTGACTGGAAGCGCACCAAGAATTTGCAGAACAAGTTCCAAAACCCTTGGCGCGCACTGGCGGAGCCGCTGGAGCACTTACCAGACGCGCAAGGTGCGAAATACCACTTGCAACTCAACATTTACCGGTTCATCATTGAAAAGTATTACGGGTACGTAGTTTCTTCGATGTTCGTTGTATGTCTTCACCCTGAGCTGCAAGATGGGCCTTGGGTGAATGAGGTCCCTGCAATGCCCGCCGAAATTAGTGCTATTATGCAGTTACGTCGTGACCACATTAGAAGACAAGGCTGCGATCTCCTCATATTTCTGGGACGTTACCAATGGATGTTTCCGGTGGGGCTGCCAACTTTGCAGAAGATGGTGCCTGGAACAGGTTTAATTTGCTGCGTGCAGTTGTGTTTTTTCCCGGCGGCAGTGGTATATTGTGTACTATATATCATCGGGATGCAAAGAATCACAGTCTCCAACAAACAATCGGTGGTGGAACATGAAACGTATGAAACGATGCAACCGCTGGTTGCGGGTATATATATAGCATAGGATGAGGAGGGTTCCTGGACAGACGTGAGATAGCACCTTGATGCCCATTCAGACATTCTACATAGTGTGTTTCCAAATCAGACAGCACCTTCTTGCCCATTCGGCTATTCTAGAGTTCAGCAGGCAGCAAATGTCGAGTTGGACGGCTTGCGTTTGCTCAGGTGAAACTCGGTTTCCAGACGAGGACCACCTCGACGAGCAGCAGGAGCAGGAAGATGCAACCCAACCTGCCCTGACTGGCAGCGCACCAGCACGCAGTTCTGCTGCAAATGCGCGTGCGAGCTCGCACATTGGCCCATCTCCGCGCACAGCAGCAAAGTCGACAGCGAAAAAGAGGAAGGCAGAGGACAGAGGCCAGCCAGAGGAAGCGGAAAATGCAACTGGGGAAGGCGCGACCCAGGCAGAGGAGGTTAAGCAGGAGGGGGTGGATCCTGCCAATGGCGAAGAAGAAGCTTATGAGAAACTCAAGTTCAGAAGGATGTTGCCAGGAGCTGCAACGTCAGACAAAGATTTTGACGACTTTTTCTTGAACCTTGAGGTCACAAATGATATCTTTCGTTTGGAGCCAGCAGAGGAGATAGACACATCGGGCACAATTTTGCACAAAGTCCGCTTGTGGACAGGCTCGGTGGCAGATGTCATGTCAGCAAATACGCCTGACTATATTGTACGGTTGTGTGTTGGAGTCCTTGCCTTTGGAAAGGCTAGACAAGCAGACATCTTCCTCCGAGAGCACGCGCTGCTTTATTGGATCGCAGAAGGAGGACGTACCCTTCGCTTTCATTCTGGTGACTGTTACATGAAGAGTCCTAGCGGTGCGTTTCAGCAGCACCGAGGAGTGCCTCCTGACCATGATAGGGTCCAGATGTTTTTGATGCATTTAGAAGGAATTTTCCGCCGGATGCCTAGAAATACACAAAGGGCTACGAGGAACCTTCTCACTGCCGTTGAACGGATGTTTGCAGAAGCGGACGGTGATCAGGTTGCTTTTCTCACTGCCTGTGTCGATGCATGTTTGAACTTTGAAGGGGATGCTTCTGCACGGAAAGGACAAGGTAAAGGAGAGGAAGACGACGTAGCACCGCCCGGAGGTCCATGGACTGCAGCAAGTGCCAAAACTGTCTTGGTGGTAGAGAAGCAATTGTCGTACGAACTCACACAAGATAAACTGTTGCACTACATGTGCGAGTGGTGCGATACCCCCAAAGTAGTTGAAGGAGCGTGTTGCTATGAAGACTGCTGCATCAAGTATGACTTTGAGGAGTCTGCCGCAAAGCAGGTGCAGCGAGCTGCCCTAACAAACTGCTATTTGCGCATTCCGCACTGCCTGAAAGGCACTATTCCACAGAATGTTGTTGATCGCCTGCGAAAATTTTGTGCGCAAACCTTTTGGGGCAACATTGACGTTTTCAAATGTGGCCAGGCGGCACAGGCATTAGCCAAACGAGGCATCAATGTCGTTCGCCTCTTCATCGGCCTGTCGAGTGGGGGCGTTGGCCAGTCCTTATACTCCACGCACTTGGAAGCCATGTACGTTCACAATTTCGCATTCTTCGACCCGAACATATGGTACAACGAGGAGGAAAATGCGAAAACAGGTTGAGCAGCTGAACGGATGCATGATTTTGACTGGCCAAGAGACGCCTGGAACTGGGAGCGCCTTGGCAGCGAGTCTACTTTCTGATGTAGAATTGAGTGTGGTGGTTCGTGCTTGTGACCAAAGATGCATGGGTTTCCCAGGTTTCCGGGTCAGACGCCATTAAACGCCAAAGTCTCAATGTTAAGGTGCCTAAAGATATATATATATATAAGGTTTTGCAGCCGATAGGGGGTCTTTGGAAATGGATTCTAGGGTCCTTGGTGATTTAGTTCTTCCTCTGATTGTGTGATATATGTTTTCCATTATATATTTCTTTATCTATCTTATCTAACAAGGTAGGTGGCCTTGGTATATACTAGTGAAAATGATCCCAAAGAAAAGATCGTCTTGGGTTAGTGTCCCTTGGATGTTTCAATATATTGTTAATTCTTATCCGCCATTCGGCAATCATGCCAAGATGGGGATTGATAATTAGTGTCTCCGTCCATTTACCCTTCTATTCGTGGAAGTGCCAGTCAGAACAAACGATCACCATTCGATCCTAGTTCCAATAGTTTTTTTTGGGGGGGGTTGGGTACTTTGATAAAATATGAACATATATTATCTATATATATATATATACATGTATATCAATAAATGCAGCCGATAGGGGGTCTTTGGAAATGGATTCTAGGGTCCTTGGTGATTTAGTTCTACCCCTGATTGCGTGATATATGTTTTCCATTGTTTATTTCTTTATCTATCTTATCTATCAAGGTAGGTGGCCTTGGTATATACTAATGAAAATGATCCCAAAGGAAAGATCGTCTTGGGTTAGTGTCCCTTGGATGTTTCAATATATTGTTAATTCTTATCCGCCATTCGGCAATCATGCCAAGATGGGGATTGATAATTAGTGTCTCCATCCATTTACCCTTCTATTCGTGGAAGTGCCAGTCAGAACAAACGATCACCATTCGATCGTAGTTCAAATAGTTTTTTTTTGGGTTGGGTACTTTGATAAAATATGAAAATATATTATCTATATATATATATACATGTATATCAATAAATGCAGCCGATAGGGGGTCTTTGGAAATGGATTCTAGGGTCCTTGGTGATTTAGTTCTACCTCTGATTGTGTGATATATGTTTTCCATTGTTTATTTCTTTATCTATCTTATCTATCAACGTAGGTGGCCTTGGTATATACTAGGGGTGCAGAATTGTTTTTTGGTATTTTTTTTACAGTTTTGGAATTTTTTTTGGGGTTCGTGCCTCTTCAATTTTTCCATGGTTTTCTTCAATTTTTCCATGGTTTTCTTCAATGTTTCCATAGTTTTCTTCAATTGTTCCATGGTTTTCTTCAATTTTCCATGGTTTTCTTCAATTTTCCATTGTTTTTTGCAAGTTTTCCATGGTGTTCTTGAATTTTTCCATTGGTTTCTTCAATTTTTCCCGGGTTTTCTTCAATTGTTCCATGGTTTTCCAATGGTTTTCTGCAAGTTTTCCATGGTTTTCTTCAATTTTTCCATAGTGTTCTTCAATTGTTCCATGGTTTTCTTCAATTTTCCATCGTTTTCTGCAAGGTTTCTTTGGTTTTCTTCAATCAATCAATCTATATATATATATATGTATGTGTGTATGTATGTATGTATGTATGTACGTAGGTAGGTAGGTAGGTAGGTATGTATGCATGCATGCATGTATGTATGTATATGCAGGGTGTGGTTTAGGGTTTAGGGATACAACATGTAATTAGGTATAATTACATGATTATTTGTTGTTTATGTTGGGATCAAAGTTGTGTATAAAAACAACCACAAATATGTCATATATATATATATATATATATGTATACGTCTGTATATCTATAAGTAAATATGTATGTGTATTTATAATATATATATATACTTATAGTTATATAATTATATAAATATATATATACATTGATATGTATATACATATTAATATGTATGTGTGTATATATATATATATACATTTATATCAGTACATTAATATATATAAATATAAGTGTATATATAAATGCAAATATATACATATACATATACATATATATATATATGTATACGTGTGTCTATATATATATATATACCTTCACCTCTCCCAACCCTAAAAAAGACAGGTTTTTTATGACAACCCAAATAAACAAGGTTGTATGTGGGAAAACCTGGTTTCTGTATTTTGGGTAATGTTGAAAATAATATGGAATAGATATGTTTAAGGATACCCTGCATGTTGTCCACCTTCCCATCTCACCACGCCCGGTTTTCGCTGCCAACTGGATCTACATCCTGCAAGTGACCTTCGCAACTGACACTGCTCCTTGGCCTGGATTTGGGCATGGCCATCAGGGAGAATCCTTATATAACAAAAAAATGTTTTTATATTAAGATTGAACTTGGTTCAAGGCATATGCCAGCTTTCAAATATATTTATTTATTTTACCACCAAACCAGATCACCAACCTTGAGCAATTTCAGCTCCCAACGAGTTGCGAACTGCCAAAAAGGTTCTTTGGATGACCCGCAACGAAGTAGTGCGGCTACTTACTCGCCTAGCCAACCGGCTAGGCCGGCCAATGTAGTCCTCTTGCATTTGTACACTAAAGCACAAAGCATTCATGCAGTGATCGCACCTTTTGCTTTGGTGCAATAATTCAAGAAATGTATGATGGAGGTAATGGCCTTTCGGCGCAAAAGGAAATCTTTTCATTTGTCTTTCATAGCTTTCCCTAGCCAACCAAGCGTAGCAACGTAAAAATTGCAAACCTTGTCTCGCAACGGGCTGCTGGGATGAAAACACCCTCACGGTAGAGCCCTCCCAGGCACTCGTTGATCGCCACGGCTGCTTCAGCCTAACAGGAAATGCAGCAGTAGGGAAACATGCAAATTTGGAAATGGATATCCCCATATTTAAAATACCAACCCCAACTAAGACAAAACTATACCAAAGTATACATAAAGCCAAAGAAACACATTTCAAGTATAGTTGGTCATTCGTTTTCCCCAAGACATGTCTTGAAGTGTAGTCGCCAAACCATTTGAGCACTAGTCTGGTGAAATCTCCTTTGCTCCATCCTCCATCAGGACAATCCTGAAAACCCTGCTCCACCCCAAACAACGCTTTCGTCAATTTCTTGTGGTATGGACTCTCTTTGTTCCTCCGGCAGTAGGAATTGAAATCAGCTGTGATGAAGTTGAAGGCATCATCAATGCTAAGTTGAACCAATTCCAGGCAAATACACACTGCAGAACTTGCAAAGTACTTTCCCAAACCACTGTGGAAATTGTGGAACAAATCGAAGCACCAGAGGGCTTCCGTAGTACCACCAATTTCAAAAGGGATTTGAAGCAAAGGGGATGGCTCTGAGTAGGGGCAAACTGAACCAACTGTCCAAAGCCATGCAGGCCGCTGCACCCCGTATTCCTCGAATGGAACTGGAAAATCATAGTTCTCCTTCCCCGCAAGACACAAATGACAAATGCCATCAGCTGCCTTCTTGCTGGAAGCACGGGTAGGTCTTCGGGTAAAAGCACGTTCGAATTTCCCAGATTTCGAAATAAATGGGGCATCGCCCTTCACACCCACACAGCAAACATAGTACCGTCGACCCTGTACTACTAAGCCTTCTTCAAACAGCTGTTTGTATTCTTTGGCCTGTAAGTCCAACATGTGAAAAAAAGCTTCAGGCGTCTCATTGTAGAGAGAGATCGGGAGGACACATTGCAAGAAATGGTTCAACCAGGTGTTTCCAACCATATTGAGACGGAGAGCTTCACCCCCAACATCATTCGTACTATGGCTGCAGCCCTTGCCTAAGATGCCGTGTGTAGCCAACACCATCAGCTGCTTTTTTTTCAAGCCCCTTCCCTCATCTCCATGTAGCAGAACCGGGATGCACATCTTTCGGAATGCAGTATCCTTTGTAGAGATGACATGTTCAGTGTGAATCTTTGAGAACTTGTCCCAAAATGTCAGTAGGATCTTGTTCATCTCACCCAAGTCTTTCACCCCGACTAAGTGCTCAAGCTGGTCGTACTCAACAAGATAGCGAAGCCAGTTCACAAAGGACACGTAGGGAAACCCACGTTTGCTTGGCAAATCTGTTCTGGAAATTTTCACATCAATGGATTGCCCATACGTTGAAAAAACATGATGAGCCCCAGATTCGCTTCTAGATAATTTGACCTTTGCCAGCTTGCGAAGCCCGTCCGACCTCACCCTTGTGACACGTGCCTGGCGAATGGCATCACTGCACGTGACCTCAGTCGAGCGCTAGGACTGATATGTATACAAAATTAATCTTGGGAAAAAGGAAGGAACACTGTGACAATGCGCAGTTTGCATAGAAACTTTTTTTTGATAACCAATCAGTTTTTTCTCTTCACAATGGGGGCAAGCATACCCAAACACCTGTAGACCCATGTGTCCGCGTCCACTTTTCTTCCCCTGCCAGCATTGCTTTCACTGAAACTGGGCTGGTGCAATGGACCTTAATTTTGCCATTTGGCACTAGTACACCTAGGTCAACGAATTGGTTTGAAAGTATCTGCCCGGGCCCCCACAACATAGGCAAAATGAAATGGCTCGTGCTCAGAACTAGGTGGTCCTTCACCACCATATTTTTGGTTCCGGCACCCTGTCTCATCGATATTGGCAGCTATCAATGCTGCTTCAAGCATTTGAATTAATCCAAGGTTGGACGAAACATGAAGTAGAGTCATATGTGTGTAATTTCCTTCCCTGTAAAAATTGAAACGCAAGACCGGGTTAGAAGTCAAACCCAGTTTGAATACACACACCTTCCTACCCATCCGGTCCCTGAAACGGCCAACTTGCGTCAGACACCTTTGCAAAATTGTCCCTGCATTGGCATCGTACTTGCGGGAGAACTGTAAATAGGAAATTGATATCCCATGTTGTTGGCAAAGCTCTTCTTGTTGTTCCAAACTCCGACTCTGGCAGTGGTCATGGGACATGTGAACCTGTGGGGGATTCCATGAAGAAAGTTGTCCATCAGAATGTCGCTTTATTGCTAAAACCTAATATACGAAGGTACCATGGAAAGAAAAACGCTGTTTGATGATGAAATGGGACGAGCCAACCCATAAATGCAATACTCCCAAAATTTGGGGGCCAATCCAAAATAAAACTTGGGCTAAATACATCCATGTAGCGGAAGAGGGTTGCATAGCAGGGACCGTAGAATGAACCATGGCATTTAAGCGACGTTCATGATGGTCATCGTTCCTTTCTTGGATCAACCCCAACAACTAAAGTATAACTTACAACATCTTATTACATTATATAGAAAGTGATAAACATAATTTCCTCAGTAGATAATGGGGGTAAAAGAAATTCGACCCTGAAAAAATCTAGGATGAGCATCACAGGAATGTTTTCCTTCCCGCATGGAGGGCAGCGCTTCTTCCCAGTGATGGGGCAATTGTATGTGAGCAAGTCCCGCAGTTCATCCAAAGATGTGCTACATGATCTTTTCAGAACCATAGCTGCGTGAGGATTTATCAAAACCCTCCATATTCCGGGCCCCCTTGACTTCAAAATGGCATTGCGGATTTGAACTGCATTCCACTTTAAATTTGGGATTATGTAGATTTCTTTCCCCTTTGGACCCCATATCTTGACTTACATCAGGGCATCAGGGCTTGTTCCCAACTAGGATCCTGACGCCATTGCCAACCATGCGCGCCAAGCCATGCAACTCAGGCTCCTGACCTGCCATGGCCGAGCCGGTGTTCGAATTTGAGAGGCATCTGGGGTGGGTGGTTGAGCATACATATCATCACTTTTTTCTCCTCCTAAGCATTGGTATCGATCTTTGGTACGGTCAAGATTGGCACCAGTCAACATGCTTGTTGAAATCTAAGGTGCATCGATCCGATCTAAAGCACATGAAGTAAGAACACCCACTCTCCCATGGTGGGACTCAAAAACTGGCCGCACATACACTTGCACGTGCATGTTGCCCACGACCACATGCGTGTTGTCACACATGTCTATGTATACCCAGGCCACTGTTCATAGTGACTTCAAAAGCCTTAGCCCTCTGTCTCTTGCTCAGCTTCACGTTTCTTCTTCTTCAAGCTCTTCTCCAATGCCCTGGTCCGGGCATTGTATACATATATATCTATATCTATATATATGTAATTTCTGTATCAATATGAATCATAGAATCATAGACCATTTGATCATTATATATATACATATAATCCCATACATTTAGTGATAGATATATAAAATATGAAATGATTGCTTTATATATGCTGTACATGCATTCTGGTCAGATGGTGCAATGTATACAGAACCCTGTTTCCCAACCATCTGCTTGCAGGTGAGATTCTTGGCTTGGGCTTCTACAGATCCCAAAGCTGCAGCCCTCAGAGCCATGGCATGGGAGATTCGGGGTGCCAGGGCTGAAAGAGATATAGTTAGTCAAGATCAATCTTATAGTTGTATTGTTGTGAAACTATAAAAGTATAATTAAGACACATATATAGATCGATAGATATAGATGGCTAAATTTATAATATTTGCACACTAGGCTGATGTTTTTCAATCATGCAGTTACAAGGCCCACCCACTTGAGTGGCTGCAAAGAGAGTTATGAAACCTAGGTGGTCCATTTCAGATAAGTCACGTCTGCATAGCGGTGCGCATTTTGTCCTTGACTTCCTTCGCTGTCCTGAGTGGATGAGATGGGATATATAATCTGTTGCATCATGGGGTTGCACAATTTTACCATGGGGTTGCAATCTCTTGCAATATGGCATTGCTGGGCATTAAGTGCAATCTGTTGCATTCAGATGTAATCTGTTAATTTGGGAGTCCTGTGAGATTAGTTGCAACCCAGTCTCTCCGGGGCCCTCTTGCCAACCTCACCAGCCCCGCTCGTGGCAGCTGCAAAGGCATCATAGGCCGTTTGCGCATCAGACAATTTCTGCTCCAAGGCTTGGATTGACCTGGGTTGGGCCAGAGCAAACAAGACCCAGACAATGATATACATCCCAAATCAAAGAGTACACCAATAGATTTATATACTATGTGGGTGCCAAAGTTTTCACACAAGGAGATTATGTTCGTATAAAGGGTGTAAGTCCCGCACTTCTTGACCCGATCCTTGTCCCCACCCTCAGCGAAGGAATCCAGCTTAGAAATTAAATCGGTGATCTTGCTCATCTTTGTCAGCATTCCATCCTGGAATTTCTTCTCGATCTCGGCATCCTTATCATGCAGGTGTTGTTTTCTACCAAGGGTCAAGGGTGAATTTCATAAAAACATTATAAATATATATAATAGCTTTTGAATATATAAACATAAACATGTCTTGACAGACCAAGTGTTGCAGATTAAGTTTCCCCTTCAGCGGGCGTCTGGACATGGCCACCCTCTTGGGACTCATCCGGTTCTTCCGTGGGTTTGATCCAGTCTTTGGACAACGCCACATCACCCGCCTGGTGCAAGAAAAATATCAATGTATATAATCCAAATATACGTGCATAGTGGTCTTGAACAGTGATGCTATATTCAATGTTGGTTGCCCGAAGTTTCCACACCAAAAAAAACATTGACCATCACAATATACATGTGGGCATGGGTGTAACACTAAATCCACTAGATCCATGGTGGGGAATTGAGATTGGATTGGGTTCCTGAAAGCTTTTGGGCCTTGCCTCCCCAGTGGACTCATGTCTTTCGGATTCAATGCGGCTCTTCTTCAAGGACTCCTTATCGGAGTACTCCACAAAGTACTTGAACACCTTGGAGCTGTATTTGTCATTCCTCAGCACCAACCGCCATAGGGTGGGCATGGATAACCCCAGGGTCATGCACATATAAAAGTTTATTCAAAAGCAACACCTCATTCAATGCATGTAATTGTTTACATGCACATATACGCATTGCCATGTGGTGTGTGATTTCATTTATTGCATTGATGCGCCGCTAGTTATGTTTAAGCATGATTACATGCCCCCTTTCCTGCCAAGACTCTTGACCAGGCCATGCTTCTTGCAATAAGCCACACAGTCCTTGATGTAGCTCCTTAATGCAAGGGCTAGAGAACTGCAAGAGCTTATAAGGAACTTGTATCGATCAGCGAAATCTACATATGTTGATCGTGAATCAGCAAAAACATTTCAACATCTTCAGGACGGGGGTCTGTGTTCAAAGAAAAATAGCCAGAGTAAATGGCTCAATGTAAAACTAAATAACATGGTATGTGTTGTTTTCCCACCAGCTAATACTGTTATGCCCCTCCAAAAGATGTATGGTTATAGTTTTACTTGTCATATATGAAGGTTTCTATGAACCAATCCTTGCATGGATCCTTGCGTGTACATGTCACTTGGGCTCATCCGAGCAAATATGGGAAAGCGGCAAAACCCAAAGAAGCAAAGGACATGAACCCAATGGAGACTCTGGAGAACAGGCCTAGATTGCCCTCGACACAATCAAGAACGAACTGGAGGGCAAGAAGCACCTGGTAAATAAGACCTTTCCAGCTACTCGCATGGTCATTGTGCAGTTGGTGAACTAGTCTACCAGTTTCCTTTGGGACATGGCAACTTGATTTTGCTTTGGTAGAAGCGGGTGAAACCTATCCTTAGAAAACGTATATATGATGTCCATATATATATTCCGAATTGCATTTCCTGAATCCCCCTGTTCCTGAATCCCCCTGTTCATTTGCACATGTATGTTTCCTCTTAACTAACTTTTTAATTACCCATATTTCTGCACCAGTCTGCAGGGCTAAGGGTCTGATCCCACTGAAGTTCTGTCTTCATTTGCTGCGGGGTGAACCATCCCTTCAGCACTTCCTGTGACTCCTCCTTCCGGTTTTGGATCATCTTGGTCACCTTGGACACAAACTTCTCCTGCAAGGATAAAGTAGGAACCAAGTTGGTGGTTGTATAGACTTGCATAGTGTGGACTTTGTTGGTAGGCTATATATTTGTTGGTGATTTTGTATCTTCCCTTGTACATCTTGTACGTGAAACAACCATACAAATAGTGAAAACGGAACTAGAAATTATATATGCATGCATGCATGCATAATATACAGTGGCGCGTGTGTAAATGCACAATTGATGATATGCATGGAGCTACAAGCTCGACGACGCAAATAAGGAATATATATATATAGATACCCAAACAAAAACCCTATGAATCCAGGGTTCCAACATATCTTTGACTGGGGAATGGCTCCTTGTCGAACTCAAATTCTTCGAGTAGGGCTCTCAATTCATCCCGCTGTTTCCCCCCTGCTGCCCATTGTTCGTGAATTGATTGGCTCACTTTGCAACGACCGCTGGGCTTTTTCTCGCACAGCCTTCTAAGACGTGCGTCCACCATCTTGTAGCGCGGCAAGGCGGCGGCATTGCTGCCATCATCATCCACCTCTTCATCCTCGGTGCCATCCTGCTGGTCAGGCTGGATTTTGGAGAGGGCTTGGAGATCAATGTACCCTTGCATGGATGTTAAAGAAATATAATATAATGAGGAATAAATAGAATTTATATAATTTATATATTGAACAACCAATGCAAAAGTCCATTTGGAAGGGCGGATGCTTTCATGCCTTTATCATTGCACAAATAGAAAATTTACATCGATCTATACTTGTCATTCAAGCAATGGATCAAACAGTCACACTTCCAACCCAAACAATAAATCTATTTTGGATGCAATTCCCGCCTGGGGCATGGGAGAAGCTTTCTGGGAAGATTTGGCTGCGGAACCCTTATGAGTTGTTGATGGGGTAGACGTGGCACTGCTCGGTGGTCCGGGTTTGGCCCCCCCCGCCGGTGACACCCCATTCTGTTGGTTGGTCTTCTGCAGCTGGACAATCATCTGAAGAGCTTTGTCAAGTTGTCCTTGAAGCGTCTTGATGACATCCGAGTCCTGTAGACCAGGATCATTTCAAATAGTGTGCAACAGCAGGACCATCAAGATCTTTGCATGGTTAAACATGTATTATATATATATGTGATATATGACTCTTATATGACTTACATATCATGCACACATTATATGTTCGTGTCGATCCTGCTTGCAGGGCAAGCCTGTATGTATGGTTCCTGCATATGGGGTAAAAGGGAAAACCCAGGAATATGACACCCAATCATGCTAGACAATCACTAGCAAACCATTTGATGTATATATGATGGTATTTGACATGATATAATTGCATCTTAAATTTTATAGAAGATGCATACATACAAGACTTGTTGATGTACTACATTAGGCAAACAGGTAACGGAATGGGACCCCCAACCTGCTTTGTAGATCCACTACCACCATCTCCACTCCCAGTAGCACCATCTCGGGCATTCTCAGGCACTTTGGTGTCCTCCACAACCATTGCTGGGGGGAATCGATAAAGATGATAAGGGCCACCCTGCAACAAATATATTCCACTGGTTGAGTTCCAACATGCAATGGGTATTGTTGTAACACCAGAAACAAATGGCATGAAAGTAGGCCGTTCCAGATGAACACAGGTGGAGGTCCTTTTCATCCGTCTTGGATTTCTTGGCAGGTGCAAGCGACTTCACCGGTGTAGTCTTGGTGGAGCTTGGAGGCCCCCGCTTGGCTGCAGACACTTCAGCGTCGGTCGCCTGAAGCTGAAGACCAATCAGGGACCCATGGCATATGTTTCAATCCTTGTTGAGGCACAAAAAAATCATGATATAATCATGTAAGTGCCGAGATGTGCGGTGCTTAAATTTCATACATGATACCACATGCATGTGTGTGTTAGTTTGTTTCCTCCTAGGTTCCAGGTGTATTGTTCTTAATTTGAGTGTTGTATATACATGCATGGTGTGAGTATTCATCTAAATCAACCAGTGGCTAGCTTGCAGCCAAGATACAGGCTGGGTATCAGCAGATTCCTAAGATATGTCTATAGCTGCTAGGCAGCAAAAGCGAATGGGTTATGATATTGTCGGTTGGCCCTCACAAACACTTCGTGAAATCAAAGTGCTCGATTTTTCCTACTAATTATACCAAGATGCCATGTCCATCGACTCCATCTCTTTGGACAAAGCTTCAAGTTCTTCTTGAAGAGCCTGCTGGGGAAGGATTTGGATTGTGTCTAGCCTCCATGAGGGTTCATTACGGATTCCATTCCTAGTTCTTGAAGACATCAATTTTATTACGAGCCAGAGGATGAACCATATATTTTCATTGCTAAATTGGTTTTGCCATTCTCCAAATCCCCTTCCAATGAAGATTCTGTTGTACAAACTCACTGTTTTCAATTTAATCCCGGCCATAGACATACCCGAATTTAAACGATTAAGTATATTTTAGATTGC